TACACCTCTAATCTTTTAATTTACTTCACCTTAAAAGAAGATTTTTTTTAATGACTGTTGTAGAGAATAACTTGAACTTTTGATAACTAACCCTGAGAAGCTTAGTTGGTAAATAATTCAGGCATCCGTAAACTAATCGAGTTAACCTTTTCTTTCTCTTTGTGGGTAAAGTGGTCCTCGGTCATGTTGGCTTGTTTCACATTGGAACCGTGCTCCTGGTTCAGCATGAATCCCAGGAGTCCTATTCAATACTTACAAATTAGGGGAGCCTTTAGAGTCTTTCATGGTTTCCCTTGTGCAAAGAACGTATTTAAAAATTGAGACTAAACAGCTGGGGGTTTTGAGTCCCAGATTCTGAAATCAATTACCCTTTTTGGGTTTTTAAAATCTTATGGTGACATTTAATGTAAACGCTTTCTCCCAATTTCCTTATTTAAAATAACTCCAAAATAAGCCATCGCCTGCCCAAATACAACACGCAGGCTTTGCTGCCCTCCAATGGTGCAAACTCAGACAGTTCAAACATTCTTATTTTAAGGTGAATACAAATCCAACGCAGCTTCTTGGCAGTGGGAGTTACTACTAAGACACCCCCAGTTCTAAAAGATGAGGCCATTGTTGTGGAGCAAGTTGTTCTCTCAGCAGAAATTCCCCAAGGGTGTTTTTTTCACCTAGCTTCCTACCACCCTTACATTGTATGAGTTTTTTACCCATCATGCATCCTGTACACTACAGGTCCAGCCACATGGGCGATGGCCACCTCCAAACCAGACATCATGATCATCCTGCTGAGCAAGCTGATGGAAGAGGGGGACATGTTTTATAAGGTGAGGGGAGGAAGGAACCGTGTCCTCCAGACAGCCGCTGACTGTTCTCCACTTGTAGAATCTCCCAAAGTCTCGGCAGGTCTCACCCTTGGTTCTAGAGGCAATGCCATCCCTCGGTGGGCTCATAAGCTGAGGACCCCAGGTTTTTGCTTTCCCAACAAGAAAGCAAGAGTAGCCTGCACATGCCTGCAGCTGATGAACCTAGAGACCTAGTTTTACCTGGTCACTAATAGGCAGATACGTAGATTCTACATGGAATCTGTTCATTGGAGCCTGGAAACCATCGGACAAGTAAAGGAAAAGTTATATAGTGCAGATATTTCCAGCCTGTGGGAAAGAGGCATCAATCTTAGCTTTTATATTTAATATATATGTAGATTTAAAAATCTGTAGTAATAATAGCTTATCAGCATCGCTGAGGAAGAAAAGGAAACCAAGACAAATAGCAATTACAAGATTTACTTGAAATGACAACAAAAAAGGTATGAAGTCTTCTTGTACTCACAGTTCAAGCCGAAACCTCCATACCCCTAACACACACAAACTCCCATGGGCTGCAGGAAGTCCCTTAAGAACTTCCCATGTGAGAGTTATCTCATTGTGTTAAGATTAGCTGAATCTTTTTCTCCTAAAGTAAATACAAATCCAGCCCAGCTTTTGGCAGCAGGTGTCACTGAGACATGCCCAGGCCCAAAGATGAGGAAATGATTGTGATGCACGTTACTTCCGCCTTGTGTAAGGAGTATACAGAGCTCCTGGGAGTAGAGTTGTATTTCCCGAAGACCCTTTGAGTGAGAGTTATTGTAATCTAGGACTCTTAGGCTTCTAGGAAACTTGAGTCTGACCCAACCATGATTTTACATGACTTCAAAGAAGGGCCTCTCAGGGTGTCATGTTTATGGACTCGAGAGTGGCATTGCTGCCAAGAATCTCAGCCCCGTTCATAACATAACTTGTGGCACCCTAAGACAAGGGGTCCTACCTCCTAAACAGGCAGAGCTACTCCTGCTCCTACCCAAAATTCTGCCTTGGAAGACTCCCAAGTCTATCCTCAGTGAAAGGGTCTAAAGAGAAAATAAAAGATCAGGATCCCTGGTTGGAGTTGCAACTATACAGACGGAATGGAGTGGATAAAGGGCAGCTACCAGAGTGTGAGATGCCTCCTGCATCATTCTGGGCTCAGCTTATAGATTTTCAGATGCAAAATGTAAGAAAAGTTCAAGGCCCCTGTGACCAGGTCCCTAGGTGGGTCATAGATTCACCTCATCTTGGAAAATCCCTCTGACATAGTCAGATGGAATCACAAATTCTAAATTTCACTTGTCTACCACCACCCTACCCCACGCCTTTTCGAAAAACAGGGGAAGACTCACTGATACTCTTTTATGCCATGAGATTAGGGGAGCAACAGCTAGACTGCTTTAGCTCCCACATCCTTTGTGAGGAGGAGACCGGCCTCTCGTGGAGGCCTGGCAAGGTGGAACAGAAAGAATTTCCAGATAAGACAAATGTAAAGAAGCAGTAATAACCTGGGAGTGGTTGGGGCTGGGGAACGCTATGTGTCCTGTAGGGAGACCAGGTCAGGAAAAACCTCCTTTGAAATGAACAAGGTCAGTTCCTTGGGAGTCCAGTTGGGAAGCTGGGGTCCCAGGCCTTTCATACGCCAAGACTTTGTTTCTCTGGCTTGTATCTTGGGAATCCCCTTCGTCACCCCTCGCCTGCCAGGTGAGCTTCCAGTAGAAAAGACTGGACCCTTCTGCTCTCACCGTCAGGGCTGGTGTTGGGAGGGCTAACCCTTAGTAGTAACTGCGGAGAGAGGAAGGGAGTGGGGGCAAACCTCCTCAGCTGCTCAGCAGACCAACAGTGTGTTTTGCTATCTTGTGCTCCCACTAGAAAGGGAAAGTAAAGGAAGCTGCCCAGCGCTACCAGTACGCTCTGAAGAAATTCCCTAGAGAAGGGTTTGGTGAGGACTTGAAAACCTTCCGGGAACTAAAAGTGTCTCTCCTCCTCAACCTCTCTCGATGTCGCAGGAAAATGAACGTAAGTCCCTCTCATCCCAGCTCCTTTCTGCAGTACTGGAAGTTGACGGTCCATGTCATGCACTGGCTTTTACCAGGCCCCTGAAATCCTTGTCTGCCCCATTTGGAACTTGGTTGTCCTTCACAGAGCACTGACATTTGCAATTTGAAAGAAATTAAGTCTAAGTACAATCCGTACCTCAAACTATAAAAAAAGTTAATCCTGTGGGCACTTTGTAGCTTTCTGAATTTTCCTAATTCCTGCT